TCTCACAATCACCTCTGGAAATGTGCTGTTATTGCAACAACCAATGCTGGCAACGTGTCGACATTGCCTTAAAAATACCAGGTTGTAGTTGCCACAACCACTGCTCATAATGTGCAGATATCACCTTAAAAAATACCTGGTTGTCGCAACAACCACTGTTGGAAATGGGCTGACATCGCCGTAGAAATACCCGGTTGTTGTTGCAACAACCATTGCTGGTAATGGCCAACGTAGCCTTCAGAAAACCTGATTGTTGCCACCACAGTGAACACTGGTAATGTTACAATGTGCCATTAAAAACACAGCTGATACTGAACAGTGGTCTGATGCTTGGCAGCTTGGACCTACATTACATTACATTACACCATCCGCCATCCCCTCCTTCTCTTGATGAGAAACTCAGCTCATATACATGTTATTTGAACTACATCACTTCAGAAACGTTACTATGATATGTATGAAACAACAAATGTAATGTAATAGTTTTCACAAATGTACAATGCCAACATTTTCCTCTGGTGACTGGGCTGCTCTTTCCTCAAGTACACCACCACAGAGTTGCCAGAAAAATGTGATTGGTAGACACATGGGATGTGCCGACTTCACAGCATGTGCAAGTCAGCATGTCTGACAGCTGATTAAATCCACCTGGCAATGACATAAACTCTGTCTGTGTTTCATTAGCAACCATCTCTCCACAGCTAATTCAGATCAAAGCCAATAGAATTGACAAAGTCCATGTTCACATGAGAAAAAGAGTCATTCACATTTGTTTGTTTATGTGCACAGTAACAGTAAAGTACATGCAATAGGGGAAACATGAACTTCTAATTGCCAGTCAGTGCTGTCAGACCTTTAAATATCCCTCGGCAACCTTCCCCCTTAAAGTCTGCACAGTAGGGCCTCCATGACCCACATGTGTTAAAGACAAATATAACCCTCCGCTACCAAAGCTGCTACCTCGAGAGCAGTCTGTTTCTGTTAGACTCCTGCTGAAAAGTCACAGAGGTGAGAGGAGGGCATGTTTCTTGCTGTGTTGTTGGTGTGCTAATCACTGGATAGGATGTGAAAGAGGAAGGGCTTTAGAGTGGTCACAGATGGAAGTACTCACACACATGAAAAAAACCTGATCCATTGCTCCGTCCAGCACACGCACAGCTCAGGTCTATCATGATTTAATGCTGAAGGGGGTCAAAGTGAGGTCGCGATCTGAGATGCTATCCTTCATTAAGGGGCAGTCCACGATCAGTCACAACCTACACAACCCACTGTGAGTCACAGAGAGAGAGATGGATGGATGAAAGCAGGAAGAGGGGAAGGGAGGTAAGGACGGAAGATATAATGTTTCACAAACACAGAAGGATCGGTTCTTGGAGATAAATTTTCTTTTTGCTCCCGCTGCTAAAACGCCAAATAAACTCCCTGGCTTTCCTGCATGAATCAACGTGATGAGTCAGTGTCTATTTTGTCTACACACGGATTTAGACGCCATATGTGGCCCCCTTCATAGCCTACAATGCAGCCCTTTTGGTATGATACACCCGCTACCCCATCACTAGTATCGCCGCCCCTCCCTCTGCGTTTTCCTCCATGCCATGTGTCACAGTATGTCTGGGAAACTGAGCAGCAGCCCGCTGAAGGAACGGCATTGAAGACTTCTCATTGACTCATTCTACATGTGTTTGACGCACTGTTACAACTGAGTGAATGATACTGTTGATGTGGCGATCCTTTGTAGCGCAGTAATGTGAATGTAGGGGGATATTTTCCCGACAAAATAAGATACAAGATACAACAATCACAAAGTTAGAGGGTGAGCTGAAAATCACACCAGTGATCACAGTCATTTTCCCCAGAGATGTGATTTGCTGTTGCAGTTTGGGGAAAGCTGACTCTGCATTTCAACCTTCATAAATGTCACCTTGCTTCAGCTTCTCTGGGTGAACTAGCCTGAGTGTCAAGTTAATTTAACAGATGTTGAAGGAGTAGTTTGACATTGTCACACTTATTCACTCCCTACTGGAAAGAAAGATGAGAAAACTGATACCACTTTCGTGTCTGGGGTGAATTAGAACCTACTGTGATCAGCCCTTTCTTTTTCCCAGGTTGTCAAATACTGATCCTTTGTGACGCCCCTCAGCATGTGATACCAATGCCAAAGGCACCCTTTGGTGCCACTTTAAGGTGCACCGGGCTTTCATCTAACTCCACTGCAAACCCATCTTTGGCAATATTTGATGCTCAGAGCAACTGACGTAGTATAAAGAGTGAGAATGTCCTCATACAGTGTGCAGACTTTCACCCAGGAGAATGCTTTTCATGTCCAGTGTGAAATGTCAGTTTTAACGCAACATATGTACACATATGTACATCCGTCACACACTTATGTCACTTATGGGACATATTTACATTACATACTAATTTAAACCCAAAACATGATATTTTTTTCTAAACCTAACTAAGTAGTTTCGTTACCTATACCTAACCATGACTGTTTCACAATGTTAACTATGTGTTACACTGTGTGTCACCAACAGCTGTGCATCACATGCTAAAGGGTGCATCTCATAGAGACACAAAAGGCATGAGGAAGCATCAGTATTTGATGACCTGGGACGAAAACGTGTTGAGAGTAAAACTGGAGAGTAAAAATGTCAAATTAATGTTCTTCTTTTTTTTAAGATTTATTTTTGGGCATTTTGCCTTAAATGGACTGGACAGCCTTAGTGTGAGTGGGGGAGAGAGAGTTCGACACGCAGCAGAGGGCCACAGGCTGGAATTGAACCCTCGCCTCTGCATCAAGGACAGTACCTTTGTACATGGGGTGCATGCTCTAACCCCTAAGCCACCGACTCCCCTCAATTTAATGTTTTACTGGAGGTTTGTGCTAGACAATCGCCTGCCTCTGAGCAGTTGTCAGGCAGCCATTGAAGATTCCAGGAAGTTGGTGTGCTTAGCACAAGCCCCCGGGAGCAGCGCCAGGCTTTCAAGCCAGTTTGATATAGTGGCCAAACCGTGGAATTACAACTTCCAGCTGCATCACGAGATGCTATAGGGCCCAAAATGACTTTTTCCTACAGTTAAATTGTAAAAGAAACGTCTGTTAAGTGGATAAGGTGACTTGTTTCACTTCTGGGATCTGATCCATTCGGTATGATTTTAAATGTCTAAAAGAACTGAAAAATTCCATCATTTTATCTCCACTCAGATTAGCAGAGTGCTAAACCAGAAGCATTTGGCTCAGCCGGCTAAGTCTTTAGCGTGCCTGCTCTATGGGTCCTGCAATGTGGAAGATTCAAGAAATTTTTTACCTGGGAACGGTTTGTACAAATTAGGAAAGAAAAGTGCAAATTGGTGAACATTAGAAGTGATGGTAGGCAGATTTTGTTACCCTTCAGGCTAACTGTTTCCCCATTGCTAGTCTTTGTGCCAAACTAAGCTAATCAGCTGCCTATATTTAATAGGCAGAAATGAGGTGGTATCAATCTTTGCATTTAACTGCCAAAAAGCAAATAAAACTGTTTCTTAAAATATTCCTTTCACCAGTGAATTCTCATTTATTTGATCTCCGCTCCAGGTTTGCTGCAGTTTCAGTCCTCCTTGTGTCCATCCCTTCTTCTCTCTCAATAAACAGATATCACAGAGCTAGACCTGGGAACAGTCGGGTGCAGCAGCTGACACGGGGAACCCGATCCCTGGGCTTTCCAGCCGCACAGTTTGTGCACTGCAGACATTCCTTGCACACGGGGATCATCATATCTTCTGTCCTTCTACCTCAGCTCTCGTCTTGTTTGCTCTCACATCTTCCTTTTCCATTAACCCACCAGGTGGGGGAAACAAGGTGCAGGGATGTCTTTTCTGTCCTCCCTGCCATTTCATCAACATTTACCATCCTTGTCCTTTCCTTCTCATCCTTTCATTCTTATTATTTGATTTTTTTCCTCATCTTTCTGCCTCCTTTTTCCATTCTGGGTATGCTGTGAGTAATTGCACTCAGTGACATCCTCGTACATGTGGCAGAACTGACACATTAATCCAGACATAATTGAGTTTCCTTCCCTGTTTGGCCAGCCGACAGCCAGACAGGGGGTCAGTGTTTTGGATGGCATGTGCAACGGTCTCGCCATCTGCATGTCCTCCACCAGAATTAGCAAGCCCCTGCAGAATGCTCGTCTAACAGTGCAAGAGCACAATAAGTTCATTGAATTCTAATTACATGACTAAAAACTACCTGAAAAGTGAGCAAAATGTGCACTTACCGGCTGTCCAACAGTCACTGGTTATATTAAATTAGTCATACTGTTACAGACTAACAATATAACTAATATACTTTAGATGACGCTTGCAGCATTAAGTCAGTTTCACAGTATGTTTCACTGATTCCCAAGAGGCCCACTCAGGTGTGACACATCTATATATATAGCTGAAAGTTGTGTATGCATTTCCTCTGATGCATCTCTACTCCAGTCTCAATATGACTGCTGGTGACATGAGTTAAATCACCAGTTTAAAACAGTGGAAATACATCACACTGACGAACCATCATAATCAAATCCATCAGAAAATTAGTGATTCTGGGAGTTTGTTTGGAAAAAATGTTCAGTCACCAAAAGCACAGATGTCTCATCATTGTTTAGTAAATTGAAGGCAGTTGCTGACCTCCTCTGCTTGTGGTCTGGGTTAATATGTGTTACAAGTAAATTAAAAACATGCAAGATATTACAGTAAACTGATCCCCCCAAACACCATCAAATGTCATAGCAACTACCCTATACTCGAGAGTGTGGTGTTACATAATTATTACATAATTTAAAGTGTCATTCAACCCCTCTTAGATTGGGCCAGGCATGCAGACCATTTCCCTACAGCATCTTTACATTCCTATTATGTGCCAAAGTGAGTAGAGATGCCAGGATCGATGGGGACATTGCCACAAAATCACCAATAAAACAATACCTCAGAGGCAAAAACATGCCATAAAACACAGAGAGCAGACTCACCTGTCAAATAAACAGCCTCCTTGAATCCCTCAGCTCTGACGTGTGGTGATGCACACCTACTGTATCCAATCCAGTGACAGGTAATCAATCAACAGAGAGATCCTGGGCTGAGACAAGCTCAAGTTGTACTCCAGCTCAGCTGCTGCTGCTGCTGCTGCTCTCCTGAACAAACTCGATGTGTGCAGAGTGGATTGAGTTAGTCGAGGCTCAGACGAGCTGTTATAAACTTTTCCCCTGACTGCTCACACCATCTGCATGCTGAGAAAGTCTCCGCTGTGAACAGGATGGCTGTCGCGGTCAGCACAGTCACACATGGGGCAGCATTACAGCGGGAGTCCGCCCAGACACATGCACACCCACATGCACTCACACACAGACACTCACACACACGCTCTCTCCCCTAACACTGCAGCCTATGCAGTCCTAACTCCTCCAGTCATCCTGGCTGGTGAGACGCTCACACTCAGTCTGAGCAGGCTGTGTGTGTATGTTGGTTACAGAAAGGAGGAGGAGGAGAGAGGGAGGGGAAAGTGTGTGTGTGTGTGTGTGTGTGTCAGTGAGAAAGCATGTTTTAGGAAGTCTTAAGATGAGAGCTCTGACTGAGCGGTGCTCCAGCAGTGCAGCTGACTTTCTCTAATATTTCACACAAGCAACTGGCACTTTCTACACCCTCACACTGTCTTACACTCTTCCAAAAATGTTAACAGCCGAGAATTTCTCAAACTTTGCCACGGTTCATAATGTGGAGTATTAATCCTGCATTTCCCATATGTCATCTGTGAGTAATTCAGCAGACAAACACAGAAAGCTGCCCCAGATTTAAGGCGTCTTCAAGTTGTTGTATACAAATGACTGCATGCATGCAGCTCCACAAACATTTATTCAGTGACACTATCCTCACTTTGGTGCAAATCCAGCTGTATACACACCAGTGGAAAGTGCATCTTGTTTACCCGGGAGTGGCCTATAAAGTTCCTGTTCCATAGTCTTGCAGTGGTTCCCTCTGAATGGGGACTATTTCACATTTAATTTATAATGTACTGCACAAAACAAAAGTTGAATTTGTATGATAAATGGAGACAGTATAATAGGGTAAAGCTTTTGTACTGTTGTTATGGGTGTTCACGGTTTCAGCAAATGACTATGTCTGCTTTTACAAACTGAGGAATTCTGACGTGTACTTTACATTCCTGAGCTCACTCAAGCAATCATTAAGCACCTTATTGACTCTTCACAGCCTGCCTGATCACCAAACATTGAGTATTGATTTATGACAAGACAGCAAGCACATTAAAATGAAAAAGTGTTACTCTCTTTCAGATTATAAACCATTTCTGCCGATAGACGCCCCTAAATCCTACACACTGGACCTTTGACTGGATGGGGCTACCAAAGAAAGATCTACATACAAAATGAAAAGGTTGGAAAACAGTTCAGTGTAGATGTTGAAGAATGGAAGAAGGAGGTTCATTTTTTTTATGTTGTTTTATAAAAGAAATATTAAGAAAAACAAAGCAAAGCAAGTGTGTTGAGAATCAGATCATTCACCACCAAAACAAGTCTATTTTCTTGTCTATGAAATCCTAAAACATGCAGGGTATAATTTATGTTATTGCCACAAGACAGATGCAGAACCTTTAAATGGTCTGAATGTATTCCTGGCACGTGTCGGCCACATCTCCTGGTCATGGAAAATGTACTCATTACTAATAACAGAGGGAAATTCCAATCTATGTAGGAGGTGGCTGATGTGTCAACAGTAATTACTTCCTCGAAATCAAATCAGTAGCAGAATTAGTTTATGTATATACTCATGTACAGCACAGTATATATGACATTTGCCAGTAAATGACCAGGGTAGTGTGTGGTTTATGATATGATTTAACAAACAAGATCCTGGCTGGGTTCTTGAGGTGTCAAGCCCCAGACACACCAAACCCACATTAAAGAACTAGTTGCGACAAAGGCCGCATGTTGCTTCATGTCGCCTGTGTCTCAGCCAGAAAGTTGCACTTGGACACACTGCAAAGACTACAGCAACAGCCAACTAGCATGTACGTTCTGCGTCTGTATGAGAGACAATAACTCTCCATACCAGCATTCGTCATTCAAAAAGGGAAACTGGAAGACTGACAGGACAGACTCAAGACCGTAGTTAGCCAGTTAGTACATTAACAACACAACGCAGTGTTGAAAGAACAAGGACCATTTCTGCTAAAGAGCTCAGTTGCCATAAAAAGTTTGTTTTTCGATCTCATGCCTTCTTGACTTAGTTGTTTCTTTGCTTCCCTCACTTCTGATTCTCTTCTCGATCAGTAAGCTAAACTGCAAATAACAGTGACTTCATTCACAGGTGGGACACACCATCTCTGACAGCGATTCAACATGCTGAGTCATATGAATAAAAAAGCCAACGAGGGCCAACTAGTGTCACAACGGTGCAGGATACACTGCAGAATCTAGGGCAACAGACGTTCACGGACAATCCGACATTGACTAATGGCCGACAGTCGGCTTGGTATGTCAGGGCCCTTAGAGGTTCAAGTGTTGGGTGAGGCCAAACACAGCATCTATTGATCTGTGTGATCTACAGGCAGAGGAGTGAGGTCAACATTACATTAAGGTCTTCTGTAAGCATCTGTCAAATGATTGATCAAAGAGGCAACAGCAGTACATGAATCTGTCCAAAGCATCAAACTGCCACTTTGATGAACGCACAAACCACGATAAGGTTCTGACTAAAACCCTTCTCCACTTTTGTTTCACAAGTTTAAGTAGTTCTCAAGTGCATGCCTACCTGGGATCTTGCAGGACATGATGCATTGATGGTGCATTTGCAGCTGCAGTAATCAAATGGGTTGCTTTTCTGTTACAGCACAATCTTTCTGGACATCTAGAACCGTGGTTCCCAACCTTTCTCGCTTGTGACCTCTTAAAAAGCAATGACATCAATGATGTGATGTGTGGATGTGCACTGGAAACAGTTCAACCTGAGGTATCCAGTACTTTATATGAAAAAAGGTGCAGTAATGAGCAAAAAAAATAGATACAAATATATAAAAATATCTTGTTTAAACACCCTGAAACCTGTCGGATTTGTCTAGGACCCTGCGATCTTGATAATCCTGACACTAACTCTGTGCATGTTTGCTGCAGCCATCATTATGAGACTTGCACCTTAAATGTAACATATTGGATGGCATTCGTCAGTTCAAACATGGCTGTTCATTTGTTGCTACAGTACAGCCAACAAATGATCAGTTTTACACACTGACTTTGAGACAACTGTTGTGACGCATGCTTGCTCTAATGCTCAGTAACCATTTGGTGTACTTAGCAGAATACCTTTTGCTCCAGAGTCTTCTTTGTTACTTTTTGTTACTGTATTTGAAAAGTTGTTATTAAATTGGAAACAGTAAATCTTTTGATTATTATGTTTTATTTGCAGCTATGCAGAGGTATCTACAGCTAACAGTGAGAATAAAGTAAAATCCATTCCTCCCAATAAAATCTAATCTCCACACAGAAGATGAGTTTTCTAGGTGTTATGAAAAGCTTCATTAGATTAAACAAAGATTAAACAAAATGTTGAGAACAAACAGTAGGCTCTGAGCCATCTGTCCTCAGCCATCCTTCAGCATGTTTTATTATATTTGCAGGACGTGGAATGCTCAACATGAAACACTGTGACCTTGTGACGTGAGAAGTGGCCATCTGTAAACAAACTGGAGCTGCATCTACTCCCATGAGACACTCCGGGGGACCTTATCCGATAGGAGTTAACTCACAAGATGAGAATGGATGAATCCTCACAGAGGAAGCCTTTTGGGAATTACAATGATCTCAGTGGGCCTGTAGTTCTCATGGCCTTGCAGTCAGAGGTTCCGGACAGTTGGTGACTTCTGGGGAGATAATGAAAATCTTTGAGACAGAGAGGAGGCCTTTCTCAGTGGACTGGAATGACACTAGAACTCATTCACTGCAATTGTAGTTGTATTGATGTATTAATATGAGGTTCTCACTTTTGTCTTCTTACCGCTCTGTACGTACGGCTTTAGGTAATTATTCAATATATTGCCCAGATCTGTGTGGAGTCCCCATGAATGGGCTAGCAGAGTGCTACATGATTCAGCATGTTTACATGTTTCCTGTACAAACAGGAAGCTAGGGAGGGACTTGTTGTGACAGCCAATAGAAATGTAGCAGCCAGACTGATGTTACATGCAAACAGAGGTGGCTGAGGTGAAAAGGACACGCTAATAGTGCAAATACAGCAACTGTGCTAAGCTAACAGTGTTAATGGGAGTTAGCGCACACTCACAGTGGGAAGGTGGGCACTGTGCTTCTGCAACAACGCCGTCCAACCACCGTGGGTCGGGGCAGATTTATCAGTAACCCCAGGAGTTCGCGCAACCAAAAACACATATAGATCCTGTATCCTGGTCAATAGCTGGCAGATTTTATAGGCGCAGGAGTGGGACATAACAGTTTGAGAAAGCATTTCATTGGATGCAAAACTGGTAAAAATGCCTGAGTGCAAGGCGAATCATTAACATGTTTTAAGCATTTCCAGAAACTCTAAAATATCATGATGAATACCTACAAAATGACTTTTTATCATTGTTGGGACAACAAGAGGAAGATGTGATAAAAAAATAAACCTTAAACATCTACCATAAAACTTCAATTAAAAGCCTAGTCCCAATCAAACACCCAGTCCCTTTTACTACCCCAGCGTGGCTACACATTTTGGTAAATAAATGCCTGTCTCAATCAGACTCCTGGTCTGGTTGCCAAGCAGTTCACTTTTCTTATAGAAGTTTTTCAGATGTCTAAAACTGGGGTTGTTGGCTATCTCAAATCATGAGTCCATTCCTCATTTACACTGTAAGTTATTCATATTCCTTTAGTCCGTAAGGGTCCTCAGATCAAAAGAATCAAAAGGGTTTTTCATAAAAACTAATCCAAGTTGTGAGTATTGTTTTAACAGGATCAAGTGGTGTTGTGTCGGCATACCGCCTGTCTGAGCTAGATCAGATGAATGACTCATTACTGGTATGTTATCTGAAGTCTAATATTTAAACAAATAATATTCATATTAGTTTAAATAAACAATTTAATTGTATTTCCTGTTCTTTGCTGAGCAATAGTTTTGTGTGAAAGCAATTAAAACCTGTCTCGTATGGACGCCTGTCCCAAATATAGGCCAGTTGATTTTCATTTTAAGCAAATAATAGCCTAGGCTATTAATTTGGTAAATATATAAGTTTTACGGTATTTTGATTTCATGGCCCTTTAACAATGGATCACATGACCACTTATGTGTAAGAGGGGTCACTTGTAGTAATGAATCCACAGATGGTTTTCACCTGACAGAGGCCCTATCCTAATGCAGATTTATAGCTTCTTTTAGCTCATTGTTTTTTGGTTGTAGGACCCACAACATAACT